GCCCTAGGGGCATTTGGAGGCAGGAGAGATTCTGGTACAACTGATTTGGAGGAGTTTGGTACATCTGGAATTTGAGAGAGAATTCAAGTCAAGGTGGAGATTGTTAGAATATGACTTGAATTTGATTTGGGTTTGTTTTGTGTTTAGGGCCTATTCTGTTTGGGTTTGGGTTTGGCCTTTTTTTTCTTGTATGTTTGGGAAAAGGTATTTGGTTTTCTGTTTGGGATTAGGAGAAGAGTTCTATACATACTCTTCACCACCCTAATCTGTTGTAAGGTCAGTCAGGTTAGTTTGTTTGGTTTGTCCGTTTGGAAGTTGGTTTGTAACCTGTACTCTCCTCAAATTAGTGAAATTTGTCCCCCCTGCCCGTGGATTAGCTAGCACACATTGTGTTAGTGAACCACGTTAAATTTGTGTTCGTTTGTGTTGCTTTGAAATATCGATTGCACGCTTCTGTTTTGACAGTTAATATTGGTTGGAGATTTAACGAGAAATTATTATCCGTGGATAACCGTAGATACCCGAAAACCGAACAGGTATAGGCGTGGTTTTTATTTTCAACCCGTTTTCTATGTGGGTAGGGTATGTGTAAAACCCGAACCACTTTGGATAGGATAAAGGATATGCACTATCTGCTACCGACCCGACCCGTTGCCATCCCTATCCCTATGGACCCCATTCAATTGAAGCTAATGGAGTTAAATATATGTGGTTCCTCCTGTATGCTTATGTCTCATGCAATTGAGTCATTGTTCTCTTTACTTTTAATTTCCATCCATAATCCAATTATCAGCTTGAAATTCTTGCAAACAATATATGTGGCTCCTCTCTATGCTTCTGTTTGGTTTTTATATGCGGGTTCTTTCTGATCCCTTTATATAAGCAAGACTGCAAGAGTGTAATGGTTTCTTTACCTCCTCCTAAAGAGAGTGTGATAGGTTATGAGACCTATAAATTTAGAGGTAGTGATCTTTGTTTAAAAGCAGCACTAGAGAATATACCTAGGTTTTCAACTATGATATTGATGTTTTCGTATGACATGCTCAAAGCCTTAATACCATAAACTCTTTATGTTCCTTTCATATGAGTTTGGTGATATTGATGTTTCTATTCCTTTACTTAAGGTACTAAGGTCCAACATATATAACCAACTAAAGGATCGATTTTGATTTGATTATATATAGTTCATAGGTCAATATTACCATAGCCAGAACTTCAATCGACTCCATTGTTCCTCATGATAATCATATGCAAACTTGAGAAAGAAGTGAAATATCAGTGAAAATATTCTTATATTTAAGGACAAACAAGATGTTAAATCTTTGTCGATAAGACTATTCCTATACAAAATATATATAGTTAGGAGTATGATTGGTCATTTAAACTGCTCATCATTTTCTATCTATGTACATAACCTTCTCATATTAGACAAGGGCAATAAACTCTATCAGAAGCTACCATTGGTAACTCACAAGCAAGATAGCAAAGAGTTAGCGCCTTTGTCTTCAAATATGAACTCCTTCGCTTTGACTTGATTTTCATGTTATTCTTTAGATCTTTCATCTACAAGTTCAATTAGTTATCTGAATGAAAGTTAGCATAAAAATAACGTTCTTTTCATTTGTGGTTCCAAATTAGTAGACTTTCCATCAAACTAAGAGAAACCAAGGAATAGGTCTGGTGTTACTAATCATCCGCCTTACTATACAATATACATATATAAGGTGTTTTCTTCCTAGGAAAACTAAGTCTCAAGTGATTAATCAGGTTCTTTTTCCTTTTATGCATCGCAATAAGAACTTTAGTTAGATAGTTTTCAGATTTCGAAAATCTGCAGAATCATAATTCATTATCTACTGAAAAGGGAAAGAAATATGTTCTAAATTTATTATGTATTAGTCGGTATGAACATCTTTGTTTGATGCAAATTTTTGTTCTTTTGGTCGATTTGCAGCTACGGAATGGTTAATAATGTAGGTACAACTAATTAACAACATTTGCTCTAAAGCCTTAGAAAGATTATATCACTAATATTATGTTTTGATTAGGCAACATAATATGACCACTTCATTTACTACTAGCTTGGCAATGTAATACCTTCCATTTGAAATTTGACAAAGGAGAAGGAACAATTTGGTCCCGTATGGATGACGTGTATAGTAATTAGTTGGTTTAATACACTTGTATATCCAAAACTTTCACGGTTGTGCCAATAATATCCAAATTTCCCAAAATACCACTTATATCAATGTTTTAAAGTTGTTCTTTGCCAAATCTGTCCATTTTCCAATATATTTTTGGTTAAATACACTTGTATATCCAAAAACACCGTTAAAGAATGTGAAGGAATTGGATATAAGTGGTATTTTGGGAAATTTGGATATTATTGGCACAACCGTGAAAGTTTTGGATATACAAGTGTATTAAACCTAATTAGTTTAATATTTATTTGGCATATTCTTATACTTGGATTATCTGCAGAAATATAGACATGACTGCATGAAATAACTATGTGTTTTCATTTCTCAAAAAGATTTACTATGCCTAATAATTTTTGTTTACTCCTAATCAAAGACTGACCAAGTAACATTAACTATTAATGAATTAAAGTAGCTAAATTAGTCTGGTCACACAACACGAGACCTCACGGGAGAACCTAATGTTCTACTTCATTAGTAGTCTTTTTATGACCAAATCGATTATGGTTTGTTCGTTGTTCAAGTTTAAATGTCATTACATATAGAAGGTTACACACACACAATGACCTAACACCTAATTATATGTTAAGTATCATTAGCTTCGGTTAAATAGGGATTGATGACTAACAAAGTTTGATTTCGTTATTTTGATTTGGTAACGTGTGTCCAGAATTTGAAGAAAAAAATTCAACAGAAAATTATATTCGTATCCTAAAAGTTAAAGATTATTGAAAGTTCATTTTATCTCTAATAACATACATCTTCACTTAAAACAAAATAATTATTCACTTCTAATTAAAATATACATTTTTAAGTAAACTGTTGCGAAGCGCGGGCCAATTTTCTAGGAAGAAAGATAATTGTTCTTCTGCACATTTACTCAAGTCAAATGCATTGTGGCATGCTCGTTTCGAAAATGTCAATGGAAAATTCTAACGAAAAATAATAAACATGGACATATTGTCCAAAATTGAATGCAATAAATATAAATGTTAAAGTGGATGTGGAATCAAAGTTTACAAAACATCCCTATGATTTCTTGAAAGAAAGTCTGAGCCAATGGACTTGATTCACACCAAAATTTGTGAGATGAAGTCAATACCATTGCATGGTGGGACAGTTTACTTTATCACTTTTATTGTGCTTGATACACTTTTATTATTTCTATATCTATTTTCTTGGTAGCAAAGATGATGCAATTAGTTCATTAAATCAATATAAATTCGAAGTTGAGAATCAAATCAACAAGAAAATAAACATTCTTAGAAATTAGTAGAGTGGTGAATATGAATTTTCATTTGAAGAAATACACAAAAATTTGAAGAAAAGGATGAATGCTCAAATACACCTAAACTATAGTTTACCTCATCTTTTGTGGAGGAAACTATCTTTACTGCCACCAAATACTCCATAGAGTATCATAGTAAGACAAAAACCATTCTATATGATGAGCAATGGAAAGATAGAAGGCCAAACATTGATTATTCCAAAGTGTAGAGGTGTTTCACAACAATGCAAGTTTCAAAACAAAATAGGTGCAAATAGGCCCAAAACAATAGATTGTGCATGTATTGGATATGCCAATAATAGCAAAGCCAGTCGATTTTGGATTTATAAATCAGAGATTCCAAAAATCCATTGTAATACATACACACAATATGAGAATGCAAAGTTCTTGGAGAACATATTTTTGTATAAGAACAAGGATGAAATTATTGAAGAAAGTTCCAAGAAAGCTTGGGAAATTGCATCGATATATGAACAGAATATTGACTAGTTATTTACTCTATTTTTTAACAGTTTTGATGGAAATTAAGCATGAGATATTTTAAAAAGCAATAAAATCTTACGAAACGATCAATATTATAAATAAGTGGTTACTAGTGAAATTGAATCGATTTTGAATAACAATACATGTGAATTAGTTGGTCTTCCACCCGATAATAATTCATTGCTTTACAAATGAATTTTCAAGTGAAAAATTGAAAGATAATGCTATTAACAAGTATACGACAAGACTTGGTCCAACGAATTAGACAAAAAGTTATATATTACCTTTATACATATGCACAAGTTACAAGAATTACATCCATTCACATGCTAATCACTTTTGATGCCATGTTTAATCTACAAATCCATCAAATGGATCTGAAAATGTCTTTCTAAATGGCAATGTGAAGGAAGAATCAGCATAAACCCACCAGAAGGTTCATCGTCCCTGGACTTTTGCCATGGCTGATTGTCGTCTCGTAGGCGTAGCCACTAGTTTAACACTCCAAAATCCAAATGATCAAGAGCCAATCAGTTTGCTGCCAACATTGTCTATTTGTATTGACTCTTGACCATGGAACCTATATGCTATATCTAACAATCCCGGAAATTGACCACGTGCTCGAATTCATTTTTCTATGCTAAGATCGTTTGATGTTGAAAGGCAACTTGTGTTGTTAATGCATGATTAAGGTTATTATAATCAGTTGCCCGCGCTGACCTTTCAACTTCAGAAAAGCCGAGGAAATTGCCTCTGCTCGATTTCTCTACTTGCTTGCTTTCTTTCTCGTTGGCCCCCAAACTTGAACCGCCAATTGGGTGATACAACTCTGAACAAGTTCACAATTCTCGGCAGTTTCCCTTTCTGCTGCATCCACACCCCATTTTCCACCTACCGCTTCCCCTGCATATATAATGCTCTGTTTTCAAGCAGAACGTCAGAGCATATCAACCCATCACTTCTTCACCAAATCAAAAGCAACCAACGCTTAAGTAATCTTTTCCCATCAGTCAAATCCCAAATTACCAGCCATGTTGAGAGCATTGAGCACTCGCAGAAGCCACAACAAGTATGAAAAGCTAGTTGATAACACTGAATCTTCTTCGGCGGGTCTCATTGTGGGAGGAGGTAGTGATTATCAGCTTAAAAGGAGCAAAACCTTGCCGGTTCGATTTTTTGGGTCGGCCAGTAAAAGAGGTCAGAAGGTGTCTGTGGAGGTGGAGCTGAAATTGCCGTCCCTCCCGGCAGTGAAACCGGCGATGAAGGTTAACAAAAGTCACCCACTTTTCAGCCTCTTCGATCGACGGCGCCAGAACAAGAGGACCACTTCGAGACCGGAGTTCGCTAGGTACATCGAGTATGTGAAGGAAGGCAGAGGCTCACTTTACTACAAGTGATGAGAAGTTGAACAGAAACGAAGAAAAAAAAGCAACTTTGGTTGCATGTTTGTGTAAGGAAGCCTTTTTCCTTTGTTGATTCTTCTTCGAATTGTGCAGAAGAAGCTGTGGATTGATATGTTCTTTCGTTGACTTAGGGCAAAAGGTTTAGGGGTTAATTTTTTTTTTCTTTCTTCATTTCTTTCTTCTTATTGGGGTTGGATATTCTCTCTGTGTTCATGATCTGGCTGAGTTTGAGTTGATGATCAAACGGGCCTGCCCGAAGGGAGTATAGACAAAAGCAATAGAGGCTTCAGAGCGAAACTTGAAAATGAAGCAGCAGCAGCAGTATCAAGATCCTTTTGAGTTCTTTTGATTTTAATATTCTGGTTCTCTCAGTTCATCCCTTATTTTGTATGAGATAGTGAACACAATTCTAAGGTTACAGAATTTATGAAGAGCATGTATACAGTAGAGCAGGAATTCCGAAGGTAAACCCGGCTTCATATTCCTCCTTGCTTGAAAACTCTTTGTTTTTCCGGCTGGGCTTCTTCACTTGTCCAGATTCCCACCGCTACCTCGGAATCTGGTACAACATTCCCAACGGAGGCGAGGGGCCACCACCCGTCTGGGTCGGAAACGTAAACGTCCCGATCATTAGTAGAACAGGGGTTCTAACGGTAGCAAGCGACGGGAACTGTTGGCCCGCCTACATATGGTGAGGAAGAGGCCAGCAATTCAGCTGGCAGTGGAAATTAAGAAAAGAAAAAAAAAGTACTTTCCTAATCACTCAAATGCAGTTGGGAAGATGGATAGTAGATAGATCCAACCAATTGCAATCAATTGGTTCCCCATTTCCTCTGCTATAAAAGGGAACATGGTTCTCCCTTTCAGAATCATCCCACACCAATTCTTCCTCTCTCATTTCTTTCTCCGTAGCCTTCCTTTGTATGCTCTTTGAGCAATTCTTTACTTGTGGGTTTTGGTAGTGAAACGTTTTCACTACCACGGGTAGATAGGCGATTTCCTTGTGAGTGAAATAGTGAGGTTGTTTGGGAAACACCGTGTGTTCTATTTCTTGTATCGAGAAAATCTCTGTAACCTACCATTATTATAGTAAAGAAATACTCCGGAGCTGCTGTTCCCGTGGACTGGCCCAAAATCAGGGTATACCACGTAAATCCTCGGTGTCATGTATTATTATCTATGCTTGTTGCTATTTTGAGAAAGTCGTAGTATATTGCATTATTAAATTACCGAAGTAAATTGATCTAAGTAAGTTGGTTACCGTAATTCTGGAGGCTCTGCCACCAGGTCCAACTTATTTGTGAACTTTTTACAAGCGTGTGATTTCTTAGTGCAATATATTTACCCGCTATTCTCACCCGCTGCGCCCAACAAGTGGTATCAGAGCCACGTCCAATGGAGGCAAAAACAAGCAAGATGATAAGTCTGAATGGCTCCAACTATCATATGGAGAAACAAGATGAAGGATCTCCTACTCGTGACAGAGTTGGATTTGTCGGTGTTTAGTCCAACTAAACCTGATGGCAAAACTGAAGAGGAATGGGAGTTCAAGCATGAGCAAGTATGTGGCTACATTCGACAGTTCGTCGACGATAATGTATACAACCACATTAGCGGAGAAACTCATGCCAGAACTCTGTGGAACAAGCTGGAGGCACTCTATGCATCAAAGACCGGCAACAACAAATTATTTTATCTGGCCAAGTTGGTCCAGATAAAATACAAGGAAGGCAAATCCTTGGCGGATCACTTGAACGAAATTCAAGGGATCGTGGATAAGTTGTCCCGTATGGGCATAAAGATGGAAGATGAGGTGGTCGCTATCCTTGTTCTGGCTTCCCTTCCAGAATCTTGGGAGACGCTAAAAATTTCACTTACCAACTCTGCGAAAGATGGAGTTATCAACATGGAGATCGTCAAAAGTGGGGTTCTAAATGAAGAGATGCGGAAAAGATCACAAGGTGCATCCTCATCATCTTCCCAGTCAGACCTTTTGGCGGTGGATTCCAGAAGCAGAGGAAGAAGTGAAGCGAGAGGCTCGAAGCAAAGAGGCAAGAGTCGAGGGAAGTCCAACAAGTTTGCCAATATCAATTGTCATCACTGCAAGGAAAAGGGCCACATCAGAAGATTTTGCCCAAAGTTTAGAAACGAGAGAAGGAAGGGCAAACAAGATGAGAACAGTGATGATGATGGTGCAAACTCTGTTGATGAGTTCAATATTGTCTACGAGGAAGATGTTGTCAACCTGACAACCCAGGAGAGAAGCTGGGTGGTTGATAGTGGTGCTACCATCCACGTGACGTCCAAGAGAGAATTTTTCTCATCTTACACACCAGGTGACTTTGGTGTGGTAAGAATGGGAAATGGCAACCTTTCCAAAGTTATTGGAAAAGGAGAAGTATGCTTGGAGACGATGAATGGTACAAAGCTACTACTGAAGGATGTTAGGCATGTTCCAGAAATGCGCCTGAATCTCATCTCTGTAGACAAGTTGGATGAGGAAGGTTACTGTAACACTTTTTACAATGGCCAGTGGAAACTCACCAGAGGCTCCTTGGTGTTGGCCAAGGGCAAGAAGCTGTCAAAGTTGTATGTGACGGAAGCCAAGATCTCCCCAGAGATTGTCAACTCAGCGGAGAATGGTGACACAATTGAATTGTGGCACAAACGACTCGGTCACATGAGTGAGAAGTCCATGGCGAAGTTAGCCCAGAATAAAGTCATAGTTGGGTTGGATCATGTTCATCTAAAGAAGTGTGTCGATTGCCTTGCGGGAAAGCAAAACCGAGTTGCTTTCAAAAGTTCCATCCCTTCAAGAGCAAAGAACGTGTTGGATCTAGTTCACTCAGATCTCTGTGAACCCGATGTCAACGTCAAATCACTTGGAGGTACCAGATATTTCGTGACATTCATTGATGACCATTCACGGAAGACTTGGGTGTATACCTTGAAGACCAAGGATCAGGCCCTAGACGTTTTCAAACAATTCCTGGCTCTGGTGGAGAGGGAAACTGGCAAGAAGCTGAAGTGCATCCGAACTGACAATGGTGGAGAGTACAGAGGTCCGTTTGCTACCTTCTGCAAGGAACATGGAATTCGGCAGCAATTTACACCACCAAAGACGCCGCAATTGAATGGGCTAGCTGAGAGGATGAACAGGACCCTGCTAGAGAGAGTCAGGTGCTTGTTATCACACTCGAAGCTACCACAATCTTTTTGGGGGGAGGCACTGCTTGCAGCAGTTTATGTGTGGAACAGGTCACCCAGTGTGCCACTGAAGTATGACGCCCCAGAGAAGGTGTGGACAAGAAAAGAAGTTTCCTACAAACATTTGCGGGTGTTTGGTTGCAAGGCCTTTGTCCATATTCCAAAGGATGAAAGGTCAAAGTTGGATTCAAAGACGCGACCGTGCGTATTCATTGGCTATGGTCAAAATGAGTTTGGCTATAGATTCTTTGATCCAATCCAGAAGAAGCTTATCAGAAGCCGTGATGCTGTGTTCATCGAGAATGAGACCATCGAAGATGTTGTTGCTAGGAAAGAAATTCCTAGTATGATGCTAGTCAGCCAAACCTTGAGCTAGTGCCTCCAACACCAGCGCCTACAGAAGTTGGAGAGGAAGCAAAACATGATCAGCCTGAGATAGTTGAACCAGATGCCCATGTGGAGGTTCAACCAGAAGATGCTGATGACGATGGTCAACCACCAGCCATAGAAGGTTCTCCTGTTCGTACAACAAGATCTGGTAGAATTTCACGACCGTCTACCAGATATCCCGAGACTGAATACGTCTCACTTACTGACGGCAGAGAACCAGAAAGCTTCACAGAAGCTATGAATGATGAACACAAGCAAAGGTGGATAGAAGCCATGCAAGACGAGATGGATTCCTTGTATGAGAACAACACATTTGAGCTGGTGAAGTTGCCAAAAGGCAAGAGAGCTTTGAAGAACAAGTGGGTGTTCAAGATCAAACATGATGAACACAACCGTCAGCCACGCTTCAAAGCCAGACTAGTCGTGAAAGGCTTCAGTCAAAGGAAAGGCATTGACTTTGACGAGATATTTTCACCTGTGGTGAAAATGACATCCATTCGTACTGTGCTGGGACTAGCAGCAAGTCTTAACCTGGAGGTTGAGCAAATGGATGGGAAGACTGCCTTCCTTCATGGTGATTTGGAGGAAGAGATTTACATGGAGAAACCAGAAGGCTTCAAGAAGGAGAAAAAGGAGGACTATGTGTGTAGGCTCCGCAAGAGCTTGTATGGCTTGAAGCAGGCACCAAGGCAGTGGTATAAGAAGTTTGAGTCTGTTATGGGGGAGCAAGGCTACAAGAAGACTACTTCAGACCACTGCGTGTTCGTGAAGAAATTTCCTGATGGAGATTTCATCATACTTTTGCTCTATGTCGATAGTATGCTAATTGCTGGGCAGAACGTCTCAAAGATCAATGATTTGAAGAAGGAGTTGAGCAAGTCTTTTGCCATGAAAGACTTGGGACCAGCAAAGCAGATTCTTGGTGTGAGTATCATTCGGGATCGAGGTGCCAAGAAGATATGGTTGTCACAAGAAAAGTACATTGAGAAAGTACTTCAACGTTTCAACATGGATAATGCTAAGGCAGTTAGCTGTCCTCTTGCTAACCACTTTACATTGACATCCAAACAGAGCCCGTCTACGAGAAGGAAATGACGGAGATGGATAAAATTCCATATGCTTCAGCAGTGGGAAGTTTGATGTACGCCATGGTGTGTACAAGGCCAGATATTGCTCATGCAGTTGGAGTTGTCAGTCGGTTTCTTTCCAAACCAGGAAAGGAACATTGGGAAGCTGTGAAGTGGATCCTCAGATACCTTCGAGGTAGCTCCAAAATGAGTCTATGTTTTGGAGATGGTGAACCTGTCCTTGTTGGCTATACAGATGCTGACATGGCAGGTGATGTTGATTCGAGGAGGTCCACTTCTGGGTACCTGATTACCTTATCAGGGGGAGCA